GCACTTAATGAAATGCTCATAAGATGAATGACCAACCTTATGTGTGCTCGCAGGAGGGAGGACCCGGTTCTCAGGGGGGCCTAGCATCCGTCAGCACGGTTAGACCTGAGAGAATCGGTCTAAATGGCTTACCTGTGTTGTCACATCCTTGCTTTTACACTTCCTCCTGCAGCTGGCATCGAGCGACCTTTTACCCTCGATGACTTTCAGTTTATGATCTTTCGCTCACCCTTCTGCAAGATGGTCCAGAAGTCGCTGGCTCACCTGATAGTCAATGACTTCCTCTCAGCTGGCAGCGACACACAGACCAGCCTCTATAGGGGGCTGGAGGCCTTCAGGTGAGTCCTCTTTGTGGGGAGCCCAGAGGCTCGTGAGGGGTGAGGACGGTGGAGGCTTCCTCACACCCTGAGTCGGGACCACCAGGCACTTCTGTGGAGAAAAAAGGACAGACCTTCAATACAGTAGAAATGACGCCACATCCTTACGTGAGTTATTGGGTTATCGCCTACGTAGAGCTTTCTACCTCTTAGCTCAAGCATCATGCGGAGTTGGCCAGCAGCTCTAGATCAAGTGACTATAAGAAACAGCCTGTACCTTCTAGGGTTTCAGTGAAGCCTCAGAGAAGCGGAAAAGGGGGAAGCGGGCTTGGGCGGGAGCAGAGATGGGAGCGTTCTTCACGGTACTTTTCAAAGGTCCATCCAGTATTTGGAATTAGAATCTCCGTAGTTCATGGACCCTGATGTCTGCCTTGAGTTTATCTGCCGAATTGGCAAGATAAGCTGAACAGAAGAGTGAGAAGCCGTTTCTTTTACAAACTATGCATGTCGAGAAAGACAGTCCTCATGTCCAGATACTTCTGATTGTTCCCCTCCTTTGGTAGATGAAGGGGGAGGAATGAAAAGGTTTGCTGGGAGCAGAGGAAGACGAGGAAGAAGCCCACGGATAAGGGAGATCCCCAGACAAAGCAGGAAGAGTACAGGCTAAGGGGAGCCCTTGATCGCTCCAGCCCACTGCCAGGTGCTCAGCCAGGGGGGTCTCTGCTGCTGAAGCCCTGAGGTGGCAGGGGACGGGCGAGGTAGACAGGGGCCTGCAGGTTGTGGTTGAGAGGCGAGCTCTGTAAGCAGGTTCACCGGATTTTGGTTCTGCCAAGGAATTGTTTGTTTCTTTGTTTGTTTGTTTGTTTAAAATGTGGTTCTTAATGGCAAGTCAGTAGCAAAGAGGGGCTCATTAAATGTGTCAAGCTGGTTCAGTCATCAGAACAGAGAAAGAGAGAGGCAGGGGAGGAAGCGGGGAGCGGGGGAGAAGGCGGGACTTTGGGGGTTTTCAGGGCAGAGCCTCCAAACCCAGCTCCCTCCCTCTCGCTGTCCACAGCTTCTCACCGCTTTGGCAGCTTGACACCCGGGAAGAGAGACCTGCCATGTCTCATGCCATGACTCACATGAATATTAAACCTCCCCAGTGAGATTTTAGCCGAAATGATTTTTGTGTTGGCGCAGCTCTGCAGAGCTCGGTAGGTCTGTGTTACCCAGCCTGCCCCGCGGTCTGTCAGGCAGAGCGAGTCCTGGGCCCCCCTGGCATTGGGCACAGGTCCCTCAGGCATCCAGGTGTGAAGCTGGCGTGGAGCACCACGGACCTCAGGATGCTGTTGGGACAGCCCCTCAGCCCCAGCCCCGCCTCGGGCAAGATGCGGGTACAGGGGGTGGGGATGCCCAGGAAGAGACTCAGAGTTGAATGTCCTGTTTTTTAAATTCCACAGCTCTGTGGAGCGGTTCCTGGGGCAGGCATGCTAGCAGAGCTTTTGCCCACAAATCATCTATATAAACAACAACAACAACCCACTCTTAGCTGGTAAATAGATTGGACTGGACGCAACAGCCCCCTAAGCACTGGCCCTATAGAATCTTCAGCGGGTCCTCTATGTCTTTTCCTGCTGCAGTTGTTGCCATGAGCTTGTGGTTTTGTGAAGCAGGAGCCCTTCATGAAAAAGAGGGATGGACAGAAGGCCTGGCCTTGAATCACTGACCTCCAGAAATGCAGCTTATCAGCTATCTCCTTCAAGATCCAGATAACATGCCCCCCCAACCACATCCACCATCCCCCTCCTCCCCCGTGGGTAAGGCCAGCAGGTGAGGAAGTGATTTTCCAATCACTTTGTCGCCTTTCTCACCCCGAGGTCTGCTAATGTGCAGACAAAGAACTTCCCTGTACGGGGGTGGGGAAAAAAATCACCTAGGGTGACCTAGGGCGGGAGAAGATGGAGTGGCCACCGGAATCGGGCAAGGAGCTACGTCCTACTCAAACAAGAATGTTCAATCAACGTGTTACAGTACAGCAGAGGCGAAGGATGGACCAGCCCACTGACCATGAGGCCACTTCAGGTCTCCAAGGGACGGACTGAACACACACACACGCTTCTAAATTTCGGAATCACAGGGGTCAGCATTCTGAGGCCAGTTCCCTCCGGTCCCAATATGTGCCCTGCCCCATCACCCGGCTTCCGCCAACCTTCTGCTTCCCAGCCAAGGTGCGCAAGGATGCAATTCCGCGATAGGCCGCACAGAGATGCCACAGAGCGGCACAGAAGAGTAAACAGCACCCTCTGTGGAGCGCCAGTGGGCTTTAAAAATGGATCTTGCCTTTTTAAATTTGGGAGCGTTTAAGTGGACGGTCAGGCGACAGGGCGATGCAGTGTAACTGTCCTGTGCCTTGCCGTGCCACCCACGTCTAAGAAGATATTTTGGGATGCCCGAGTCATTTGGATGTCTAGAATTGATCTGACCACCTTAGATCACAGAATATGGTTTGCCTAGGGAGTTTCCAGGACGGAGGCTTAGGAGGCTGAAAATTGAGCTCAACTTGTAATTTCATCAATGTCAGCCTGATTTCTTAGCTACCAGCGGGCTCAAGTGACCCTGTCAGCAGTTGCCACGTGATGCACAGATCCCTTACCGGTAGGAGAGGATGGGTCGCCTATCCAGATCTGGCCAAACATTACCGCGAGGTCAAGGGGCAGGCTCTCTGGTGCAAGGGTTTCTATATGAGAGACCGAGAGAGACCTGCTCTCCTGCTCTCAAAGGCACAGGCACAAAGCAACCCTAGTTCACCAAGTGCCTCGGGCACGTCCCACAAACCGCTTTTTAATCCGTTTCATCCTCACTGCAGGTCTATGAGAGGCATCTTTATCCCTCTTACTGATGGGGGAACAAAGGCTCAAAGGAGCTGAGCGTTAGAGGTCAGGGCGGCTTGAAGCCAACCTTGCTGTTCGAGGCCAGGCCCATCCCCCCTCCCCCCAGCAAACAACACACCTGTGCTCTGAGCTCGCTACAGGTGCTAGCACAGCAGCTCCTTCCCGATGGCCTTCCTACCCTCAGCTCAATTGCAATGCGATGGAGGCCCAGGTGGTGGGCTTGTCCCTGCTGGCGGCAAGTAGCTGCCCTGAGCCAGGCCTTCTTAACCCCGGCGGGGGTCTCAGACACAGATGCTACTGGGCACAGGGTAGGGATGCATCGTCCCCTACCAACTGGGGAAAAAATTTACCTCGAAAGGTGAAACCCTTAGGATCAGGGAGCGCCATTCTGGCACGTTTATTGAAAATCATCTTTTTAAAAAAAAATCAATATACTATCCAACCCACACAGAGCCAGCGTGAACTTGCCAAATATTCTCACGCCGCGTGCCTTCACCCACACTTTCTCCCCTGGGTGAGACCCTCCTGAACATCTCGACAGAATTTCTATATGCCTGCTGTAGCACCCTCCTCACTGCCGTCAGTGACCGGAGTGTCCCCCCCCCAGACAGTGACCTCCACGGGAGAAGCCTGGGTTTCAGTGTTCTTCTCAGGCACATCTCCTGGCCCGTTCTGTGTCTGGCGCACGATGCTGTGCATCTTTGTCAAGTATCTGCCAACGTGCACGTGTATTCCCACGTGGAAGGGATCCGAAATACCAAGCTTTGTCCCTGTAAAAATGCCTCTGATTGACCTGAGACGGGAGGGGGGCCCTCTTCAGAGCTCCCTCATCCAGGCCCGCCGTTTGCCCAGGCCGGTCTCCCCCCACACGCCCCAGCCTCCCACCTGACCTCCTCCGACCGCCACAGCCAACCCCAAGGCTGCCCGCAGACGCCCTCCGGTGGCTCTTCTGGGTAATGACAACACAGAGACGCAGGGAGATCTGGGGTGGTCCTTTTATTAGGTGGTTATTGCTGTACTACAGGTCCTAGGAATGCGATCTCCTCTCCCTGCTGGTCACAGTGGGCAGGAAAAGCCCCCGAGGCTGGGCCCGGTGCGCCCTGCGGTTAGAAATGGAACTGGAAGGCCTCGGTCACGTGCTGCTTCCAGGCCTCCAGGCTGGGCAGCAGGGAGGAGATGCCCATGACGTGCCAGGTCTCCTCGTCTGACACCACCGAGGTCTGGTAGGACAGCAGCTGCACGCCCGCCTCTGCCAGGAGCCCTGGGAAGAAGAAGAAGCCCCTTGCTGGCACAGGGCGCGCGGGAGGGACAAGCGAGGTGGGGGGAGTCCCGGTCTTCTGTGGTCAAAGCCGCCATGGGGGGTGACGGTCTCGGAGTGAAAGGGCCGAGGGTGGGAAGGACAGGCATCTGCCCAGCCTCCCTCGCTGTTCCCAGGACTCCAGGAACACGCCGGCCATCAGGCCAGGCGAGGGAGGGACGATGAGCTGCAAAGCTGGGGCAACCGCCCCACTTGCCGGCTGCCAGCTTTGTCCAGACCGGCAGCGGGAGAGCAAAGCAGGGGAAAGTTCCTCCGGGCGCTGGCGAGGATGGTGAACCGAGGCCCCTGGAGGTCTGCGGACACACTCTCTGCCACACTGGGAAGGGCTCCAAAACTCCCGGGGCGCCAGGGGCCTGGGGCAGCTCTGGGGCCCACGACGCCGGAGGGGGAGCGTGGCGGGCCCTGCTGCAGGCAGGAGGGAACGGGTGCGAGCGCTCTGAGCTCCTGCGCCTGGCTCCACAGGTCTGCACTGCGCTTAAACACGGCAAGCAGCCCAGCGACAGCGGCTCCGGGGCCCCAGCCCAGCCCAGCCCGCCGCTCCGTGCCCTCGGATAAAGCCCTTTCGTCCGAACTCCACGCCTGCTCCCCAGTGTTCCCCAAACCAGCAGGGCAGCCCCTCCGCCCACGGCTGATCGAGAAGTGCCCTGTGGCCGGAGAAGCCGCAAGAGGCAAAAGTCTCTGGAACTCAGGCCCAGGAATCACGCACATGCGCGCGCGCCCCTGCCTCAAGGGCACCGGCCAGCCCTCCAGGCCCCTCCTCACCGATCATGGTAGGCAGCATCTCAGGGTTGGAGGGCTGAGCCCGGAACAGGAGCAGGGGCAGCCCCCTGCGGAGAGGCACTTCTGGTCTGAAGACTGCGCTGTTGAGTGCCTGCAGCACAGGCGTGGTGCCCTGGACCAAGCCCACGGCCTGGTACGGGGCGCCTGCTAGGGCCACGGTCAGGAGGCCCTCCCCACAGGCCTGCTCCCCGGGCACCGCGGGGTTGTGGGAGGCGGTTACCTGCAGAGGGAAGGCAGGGGGCAAGTCACACCTCCGGCTACGCCACGCCCACCTCTCCCTCAGACCAGTGACCGCAGGGCTTCGGCCTGGAAGCATGGTCAGCACCTCGGCGCCAGGGGAGAGGAGCTTGTGCCTCTGAATGTTAGCCTCCTGGGACGGTCAGTGGCCTCCCGTGACGGAAGGAGTGCTCTGCCAGGTACAGGGAAAGGCTTGGGACGGAGGGGTGCGGTCGAGGGACGGGGAGGGAGGCCGGGTCATCAGGCCTGCCCCAGAGGTTCACCGGCCCCTCCTGCTCACTGGTTCCTGCACAGAATCCTGCACACAATCCGCGACTGGGATTGGGGGGCAGGGGAGTGGGGGGGGGCGGTAAACACGCTATAGCCCATTGCTTCTGCGGGCTCCCACTGTCTGAGAAACAGACGTGGATCTACAAAGGGAACCAGCGGGAAAGAAGCCGAAGAAAAGCCACGAGGGCGGCAGGGGCTGGGAGGATGTGTGGCCGCTGCCGGAGTCGGCAAGTGAAGCAAGAATCGGGCGTGGCGGTGGGAGGGGCGTGGCGGTGGGCGTGGCGCCGGCGGGCAGAGGCGGGGCTGCCTGTCTCCCGGCTTCC